GAGATAGCAGGGAAGCTCCATTGATGGATCTCTCATTGCAGGTGCGGGAGCTGGAAGGGGAGGTTGATTCTGAGCAGAAGCGCAGCGCTGAGGCTGTGAAGGGTATGCGCAAGTACGAGAGGAGGGTGAAGGAGCTGACCTACCAGGTAAGGTTAATGGCATCTTTGTGTTGACATAGCCACTGCATTTCTCTACAAAGTCCAAGAGGAAATGTCATTTTGTGGTGTGGGGAAAATAATTTCTCTCTCTTTCCTGCTTACTGTCTGCTTTAGTCTGAAGAAGACCGGAAGAATATTCTTAGACTCCAGGATCTGGTGGACAAACTGCAGATGAAGGTGAAATCCTACAAGAGACAATCTGAGGAGGCTGTAAGTATCACTCTGAGCAGTGCTAAGAGTGTTCTTCAAGGAAAAGAATATGAAGGATTTGGGAAGTTTGACTTGTCTATTGTGGTGGGCTTCTTTGACACATTTATTGATACACTTTGCCTTTTAGGACAATAGCAATGAGATGAAAAAAAGGGAACAGATAGGCCAAATGCACTTAAATTGTTTTGGAGTATATAACGGAAATGTTTCTAATAGGTACTTAGCAAAAACATTAATTGTACAATATATTAAGAATTTTTCAAAAGAAAATCTTTTTGATGTACTGATTTTTAAATAAGCATCTTAAGGTAAATGCTTGTGATCCTTTGAAATTCAAAGAACCTTGGTAATGATTTGGAAATAAAGGAACTGGGCTCTTCCCCACCAACTCCCTCTCCCCACACAGGAGGAGCTGTCCAATGTTAACCTCTCCAAATTCCGCAAGATCCAGCATGAGCTGGAGGAAGCAGAGGAGCGGGCTGACATTGCAGAGTCACAGGTCAACAAGCTCCGAGCAAAGAGCCGGGAATTCCATAGGAGGATTGAAGAGGAAGAGTGAGGATGTCATGAGGCAGCAAAGCAGACTGAGGAGTGCACAAAATGTGAACGCTCTGTCACTTTCTTTTGCAATGTCGTTGTAACCATGTCAGTGTCTAGAGAATAAAAACCATAGATTAATATGCATAAGCACTACCAACAGTGGCTTCTTTGTTGTTGTTTTTATCTCTTTTTTGATCTTTTTCCTTTCTTTTTCCTGAGTAAGCTTGGGATATTACTGACACAGCTACATACATTGTTTTCAAGCTCCTTGCACTACTCTTGCCCTCACGTATTCTTAATGCTTCTCCTAGTGTCCTGTCAGCACAGCTTAGTGCCATGTGAGTGGCAAGAGAGAGCAATCCCTTCCCTTTTCCCTCCCCTGCTATGGGTTGCGATCATATCAATCAGAGATCCTAAACACTGGTCTCTAACTAAGCTATCAGATGGCACAGTGTATCACACCATGAAGGACAGACAGTTCCTCAGCAGAAACGATTTCCTGCAGACACCAAAATTAGTGCACTGTTATGACACTTTGATGGTGCCTCTAAACTGTGCATTTTCTCTTACTTTAGATTCTCTGAGCTGATGCCATCTATTTGTGGTTTCCTTCCAATGTGGCAGAAGTCTGAGCCCTACCTGGGGCCACCTACTGAAAGGAAGCCCCCTGAGGGCTGATTTTCCACACACTGCATAGAAGAACGCACCTCCTCAGCCCACCACCTCAAATGTCAGTCTTGTCAGCTCTTGCACAACAGGCTGTATGCGGCACAGCCTTAGGCAAGGGAAAAGAAGAAAGCTGATGGGTGTTTTACTCCCTCAGATAGCTGGACTTTCTTTTTTATTTTCGCCTACACAAAGGCTGAGCTGACAGTATTCTAGGGTCTCGGAAGGGAAGGGGGAATTGACAAATGCTTTTCCTTCCATTCAGACCCTGAGGAGGCACGTGAGGCAGGTATAGCTCTGGTCTCCTGCCTTCCATGAGCTGTCTTGGCTGGAGCCTTTTGACACACTGCCAATGGTCTCTGGTTGAGGTGAAAGGCACATGGAGAGCATCACTGTATGTCAAATGCATGTGCAAAGATATCAGCCTAAATCGATGTTTAACTGGCAGATATATACTTCCTAGTATCTTCTCTCCCTTACTTTCAGGAAGACCACATGGACCTGGAAGACTTTCTCTGAAAGAACAAAGGCCACAGGGCTGAGCATACAATGAATCAAAACCAGGTTAGTGGTAATTGAGGTCCGTTAAGTGAATTTAGTGATTCTTTATGTCATTTAAATTTGCACAATTACACCCAGTGTAGCAGCATTTCCCCTGGCTGAAACATTCGCCATTCAAGCCCATCACTCCACACAGCAGGAGCCCTTGGTGTAGACTGATGTGGAGTGGATGAGGAGCCATTAGCAGTTGCTGAGGAGTCAGGTGCAGCTGGCACTGAAGGTAAGTAAGACGCCCATTAAGAACAGAGAACAGGGGACATGTTGCTGAAATTTTGTGAGAGTCTGTGGGTTTCCCATTCTGAATATTGTACAAGAGCTGCTATTCAAAAGTAGAAGTTGGTCCTCCATGGTGTACCAAGACTAGCAGGGCAGCAAGGATGGGAGTGGAGCAAGTGCTACAGCTAAAGGGAAAGGACTGTGCAGAAAATGACTGTGGCCAAAGCTGAGACAGGTAGCCTCTGCGTGCTTTCAACCTTGATTTGCTTACAATGTTTTAAATGGAAAGCTTGTGAGCGGAGCTCCTTGGGTGTCATGGGAAGGACAGTCTCTCAGTCTAAGCTTTGCTAGTTTATGCCAACAGCTCTGCATTCAAACAGACACATTGCTGTGAAGTTGCTCCACAGCTGCATATCTGTGACAGTATTATCTACCCTACCTGGCTCCGAGGTGCAACCTCATGAACCTCATGCATCTTCATCTCTTTCATCCAACTTCATTGCCTGACAGTGCGCACAGCTCTGCCATCATAACCAGGACTTCTGTGGTCAGCATTGAATTTCCAAACTCACCTATAATCAGTGCTCTCTTTGGGTGGCTCTAGAATCATGCTCTGCATGTGGCTCTGACCATGCACACCTCACACCCGCAGGTTTCTCCAAAGCTGCAAATGAGGCTGCGTAAAGTCTAGATGCTATAGCATCTAGTGAGCATCCCCATTAACTGTAATGGCAAGGCAACCCTGTACAAACGTAAACCTCTAAGACTCTTTGAAATTCTACACTGCAGACCCTGCACAGCCATTGGCTCCACTGTAGAAGCTCAAGGATACATCACCACATTAGAAGAAAGCAAGGCAGCCACAAAGACAGCCAAAGGGAAGAGATAAGGCAGCAGCTGTGAAGAAGAATAAGCAGGCTCCTGGACAAACTGGTAAGTGTGGCATTTGAAACTAGTTGGCCTATACAAAGGAAAATGTTACAACAAGCACTGATATGAAAGGGAAGGTAACTCTCTGAAGATGAAGCAGCTATC